ATTCAGCGCTTGCCTCTGCACCACCCTCATTGCCCTAGGAGGTGGCCCTCATAGGATTCCTCAGCCATTCCTGGATGGGGTTGGGGTGGAAGAAGTGGGGTCTGGCCCAGCGGGGAGTATTGAAATGATTCTCCTCCCAAAGGCCTGGTTCCCAGGGTAGGGGGACACTAGGGGTCCGAGGATGTCTCAGGGACCTCATCTCCCAGCAAGGGTTGTGGGGTGTGGCGTCTGACCAGCCCTGCTTCTCCGTGGTGCACCGTCTGGTCCAGGACCAGCAGGTGGCGCCGTGTCCTCGGTGGACCTCCTGGGTGGGGCCTGGAGCCTTGGTGGAGTAGACAAAGGTCTCACCTTCTAGTTGCCAGGAGACCACGCTCGACTGTAAACAGACAGGAGTACATCTGTCAACAGACTAGTACAGTCATGGCAGGGGTGACACACAATGGGAAGAAGATAAAACAGGGTGGGGCCAGGTGGTAGTGGCTTGGGGAAGCTGGGAGGCCTCCTGGAGGAGGTGACCTGAATGAGGAAGGAGCGTTCCTGGAGTAGGGAGGTGTCCCAGGGGCAGCGGGAAGGCAGGGGAGAGCAGTGCACCCAGGTCCTCAGGGTCAGAAGTGTGCATTTCATTCTCCACTTGGCCACTGAAGGGCCCTTCTAGAAATTTCAAGGGCCCCTTCCAGTCTGATTGTACTTTCTTCTTCGAAACAGCTCTCCCATGGCCGCACGGCAGCCTGTGTGTGCAAGTTTGGGGGCACACGGAGGTCATGTGGGGATAGTGGGGAGGATTTGAAGGTCCCATCTGCAGAGAGACCTTGTCCAGAAAGAGAGAGTGACGATGTCAGAGACCCCCCTCCCACGCCACTGCAGCACTTGGTGGGATTCATCTTTGTTTTCCCTGCTCACCCTCCCCCTTTTAATACACAGAGAGGATGGAAGTGCATTCTGGGGTGGGGAGTGGGCCCAGCTCCCTTGCCTTGGCATGGACTCACATGAGACGGTCAAGGGAGGGAGGATATTGTCACTGTTGCCCTCCGGGGTCTTCTGAACCCTACCGGGTCCTTGGAGAAGCCAGAACCACCACTGCAGCCACTGGGCCCAAGAGCCACTTCATCAAGGGCCTCCCGCCATGCTGGGCACCTTGGCCTGGTCTGAGGGGATGGGGCAATTGAGAAGGAAGGTGGAAGCAGGGCCGTGGGAGGGGCAGCGGGCCTGAGAAGGCACGGCCTGGCAGCTGGGTTACCCGTGGCTGCCGCCTTGGCATCGTGGGTAGAGGTTATCAGTTGACAGCCGCCATCCTCACAGGTGGGGACATGCCCTGGGTTCAGACAAGCTGGGTGGGGGGGCAGTCTCAGTTGGGGGAATTGAATTCTTTCTGACCACAGTGACCTTCCCACTGGCAGGGCTGGGCTGAAGGCCCCAAGGTGGTGGTTAGGCGTGGCAGGGAATGGAGACATAAACAGAGCTAATGAGCCCCTTCTTCCTCGCCCTGCACCTGCAAGGCCAAGGATTCCTGTCTCTGCACTTTCTCAGGGTTCTGGGTGTTTGAACCTCAAAGATTCATCTGGGCTCCCACAGTCAGAGAGGGAGCAGGAAGGGGATGGAGACCTAGGGCCAGGTTGGGTAGGCTCCAGGTGAGGGGGCCCTCCCCCCGGCCCAGGGCAGGTACTAGGACAGCCAAGCTAACAGGGAAGAAAGGAGTGGTAATCATTGCAGCATCCCCTAAAAAAATCCGACAAGGCCAGTAGAAGGGAGAGTTGCCATGGTAACCCAGAGCCCGTTGCATGGCAACTGCGGGGTCCCCAAAATACTTGCATGGAGGGAGGCTCTAGAGTGGGGGCTTTCCGCAGGCTTGTACGTTGGGCCTTAGCTGCTCTGTTCGCCCCCACACTCGCCCCCACACTCCTCGGGCCTGATCCCCTCCCCAGCAGCCCCCACCCCCAGAGTCCTTCCTGAGGGAAACCCCAATCTGCTCCCCCTGGCTCCTCCTCCTCTTTGCCCCACCCTCCCAGCCACCTGGCCTTTGGGCCATCCCCTATCAGCAGAGCCCATTTCCTGGATACCTGAGTGACAGTTGTCAACCTGCAGGTTGGAGGACATAGTGGGTGGGGCACTGTGGGTGTGGCTGGACTGGGAGCCTCTGGCTGCACACACTCTGTGCCTTGCAGTGTCCCCACCTCACCCCCATCCCCACCCAGGGCTAGGGGCAGGACTGCTGAGCTGGGTTTGACTGGCAGCTGGGTGCAACCTGAGAAGAGGGGTCTGCCGGTGAGACCTTGGAAAGTCCCTTCTCACTGGCTTCCCTGCGACCCTCACCCTAAGGTGCATCGACACCACCTGTGAAATTTGCTGCCTCCTGAGGGGACCCTGGGGCAGGATCAGCTCAGCCGCTGCCCTGGGATCCTCAGCTCCTGCCTGTGCTCCGGGCACTGGCTCTGGACACAGGGCTCTGAGTCAGCTCAGTGTTGGTGACTGAGGGTCTCCAAACGGGCACTCGGCCCATCCCTCCAGGAGGGAAATGAGAGCCTTCAAAAAGTTCGTGGGAAAAATGAAATAGAAAGATCGTGGAATTTCCCCCCGGACTTTCTGAAGCCCTCTGGTCCCTGCCCTGCGGTGGGTGTGAGGACTGGTGGGCTCCCTTAGGAGAGGGAGGGGGCGGGGATGCAGGGGGAGGGGCAAGAGGGCAGGGAGGGAGGAGCCAGACTGCCAGTGGTTGGACTTTGGAGGGTGGCGTGGGTGGGATGTGAGGCTTTTGGAGCAGTGAGGGTGGGGGTGTTAGGGACTGTTCCATCAGGGATGGGTTTTGGGGTGCCTTCGGAGCCAGGATCCTCTTCTGGGTGGGAGTGTTCACATATTGCGTGACCTTGGCCCGTATCCTTAAGCCTCACTGAGCCTCACTGCCCCACCCATCAACCGGAAAGCGCCACGTCTGGTGTGGGAGAGGTCCCCACGCAGCCGCTGCCCTGTTCGGGCTGGGTCTTGAGCGCGCTCCGGCTAGCAGCTGTGTTTGGCTTGCTGGGGCAGCAGCCTTGACTCTGGCCATTCAGGGCAGTGGGAGGAGAGGGCGGGGCGTAGGCAGTGCAGATGATGGCCTTTTGCCCGAGTTTCTCCGGAGCTGGGTGCCGCTGGAACCAGACAGGGAGCTGCTGGGACGCCGGGAGAGCAAGCCCCGGCTGTCTCACCAGGTGCTGCCCAGGACGGTGTGCATGCTGGACTCCCCGCTGAGCAGGCAGGTGGACGAGGTAGATGGGGTAGAGAAGGTGAGCACCTAAGGCCCTGGGGGGGTGGCTGCAGCCCCAGAACTCTCTGTGTGTGTGTCTGGGGGTGGGGGGCAGCACAGGGAAGGAGTAGAGATAAGAGCTCAATGGCTCCTACTCCACACCTGGTTTGGCTTCTTCTCCCTGCCTAGTGGGTGGAGAATTAACCAAGTTGAAACTGCCCCAGCTCCCACTCCCCCAGGCAGGACCAGAGGGGACAGGATCCACCCCAGAGGGAGAAGGCACCCTGGGCTGTACCCACCCTGAGTTGTGATCCAGAATTGATGCCCCCTGAGCAGCCCTGGTGGCATCGTGGTTACACGGTGGGCTGCAAACTGCAGGGTCAGCAGTTGAAACTACCAGCCGCTCCTGGGGGGGGGGGCGGGGGGAGGAGACACCCACAGGGATAGTTCTACCCTGTCCCGTAGGGTCACTGTTGGCATTACCTCGATGGCAGCGAGTTTGGGGTTTTGAGGAGGACAAAGGGCCATTTCTCTGGACTCCACCTGAGAATCCAGGTGTGGTGGGCCTGGCCAGTTGAGACAAAGACCCCTGGTCAATGAGTGGCCCTGAGTTCTGGAACGTCTCCCTCCCATTTCCGCCCATCCTAGGACTTCATTCTGACCCAAAATGTACACCCCAGGCAGACTGGTTGCGGCGGGGTGGGTGGTGGGGGTGGGTCTGGTGAGTGCTAGTCCCATGAGGGGTGGGCATCCTTGAGGGCTGCTGCCACCTGGGTGAATGTGCCCCCTTGGGATGCTTGCCCCCACCCCACTCACACCTGGCTGGGCTGTGACCAGAGGGAGAGGGGACAGCCGAGTCCCTGTCAGTTCCCCAACGGAGCCTGGGCTCTGGCAGGGAGGACAGGCTAGTGAGGACTTGTGGCCGCAGGCCAGGAGGTGACAGGGCCATGGGAGGTCTGGTGTCTCGTGGGAGCAACCCTGGACTTTAGGACCTGGACAGTAGGTGACTTGACTACTCCTTCAGCCACAGTTGCCGCTGTGATCGTGTAGAGAGTGTCTGGAAACACTGGCCCAGTGCTTGGCACCAGAGTCCTCGGCAGGTATTAGGAAATGTCTGTCCCCTAGGGAAGGCAGCCGGTCATTATGGTGGGGCAACTTGCAGGGCGCAAGGCAAGGGGCTCTACCTTGAATCCTCACGGTGCCCCCTGTGTGTGAACCAGGGCTTCAAGAAGACCTACTGTCCAGGCCTGCCGGGAGCCCCAGCGGCCTCTGCTTCCTTCCTTCCAGAGGCCCAGGCCCCAGCCCCTCTCCCTCCAGACAGGGTGCGCTGACCAGGAAGCCACCTAGGGTCATCCTATCATCCTCCATTTGCTCAGACTTGGAGTTCAGAGTGAGGCTGCCACCTGGCTGGTGGTCAGGGAGAGGACTTGTGGGGGCAGCTGAGCAGTGCACAGCATTGACAGGCTGAGCTGGCAGCACTGCCGCTGCCCCCCTTCCCTCTCTCAGCAACACTTGGGAAGTGGCAGGGTTTTAAGAGGAGTTTCTCTCCTTAGCCGCTTGGGGCCAGGAAATCCCTGCACAGAGCGCTGCCTCCTCCCCGTCTCAGCAGTCTGCCAGAGCGCCAGGCAGGCACAGGGCGGGTACCCCCTGGTGCTGAACCACAGGCTGGCCTTGGGCGCGGTGGGCCCTGAGCGGTGAGGCTGTGTCCTTGGTGTTGTGTGAGCATGTGCACCTTCCTCTCGGGGGCTTCTCCCTGCCTGCAGGTGACCTTGTACACATTTGAGCAAATGCATGAACATGTCCTTGTGTCTGTGGCCACTTGTGCCCGTGTGCTGGACAGTGACAAGCCTGACTTCCCGGGCGAGTGTGGAGACTGGTGCCTGCAGGAGGGAGAGCACTGTGTGAGGAGGTGTGCCTGCCTGTGTACCTGCATATTTGTGTGCCCACACCTATGTGTATATGCACCTTGCTGTGCCCCAGACTTGACCATGAGGGAGCCGGAGTCCTCACGGCCCTGCCCCTGCCACCCCGCGCGTCAGCATTCTCATCTCTTCGATGGTTGGGTGAGGAGCCCTGGTGCCATCGTGGTTACGCTTTGGGCTGCAGTCCACGGGTTGCCACCAGCGCTCCGTGGGAGGAAGACAGGGCTTTCTACTCCCGTGAAGAGCTACAGTCTCGGGAACTCACGGAGAGAGTTCTGCCCCTTCCTACAGGGTCGCTATGAGTCGGCATCAACTCAATGGCAGTGGGTTTGATTTTTTTTTTTTTTTCAAAATCGATTGATGCCCACATCTTCCTCGCCGGTGGTGGTGGTAAAGGCCTTGGCACAGTGTCTCACGTGCCATCTGGCCATTTGCTGCCCTGACAGTGGCGTGGAGGCCTAGGGGCTGGCAGAGGGACAGTGTGTAGCAGGAGGGTGGGACAGGAGCACTGTCTTGGAAACCATCCTTCAGCCCAGCGCTCTGGAAACTGCAGGCTGCCTCCCGGCTCTGCCCTCTGGGAGCTACCCTGCCCAAAAAGGGCTGTGGGAACGAGGGCAGGCAGCAACCCCGCCACCTCCTGGCAGCCAGTTGGCACCCCGGGGCCCTTTCCAGTGACCAGGGCATCTCGAAATCCTTCTCTGGAAGGGTAGCCCTGCTTCCCAGGCCCCCAGCCTCTTCAGGCGGGCGACAGTACCCGGGACGCAGTGTTCCTGGCACAGTGGACAGCCTCCTGAACCACAAAGGCTCATTTGTCCTAACTCCCCTGGCCCTGGAGCCCTGGGTACCCAGAGCCTGCTGGGCACAGGAACCTGCCTGTGGGCTTAATCCCCTACCTGCAGATCCCCTCCCCCTGCCTCCCCAGGACCCTGTGCTTTGGAGAGAGGCTTCTTAGCCCAAACCAAGCCCCATCAAAGCCTAGGAACTTTTACTGTGAGCAGGAACCCATCCCCCAAGAATTGTTATCGCGCCCAGAATTTAGGAAGAACCCAACTGACAGCACTCCTCACTCCTGAATCACACCTGCCGTCACTGCAGGCTCCTGGGAACCGACAGCCTCCTTTCTGCTTCCCAGAGAGCCTGGCTCCCTCCGTCCCTGCCTGCCCACCTCCCTCCCGACTTCTTCCCACCTCGGCTGGCTCACCTCCCAATGCCGTTCCCAGCCATTAACCTTGGTTTAACGGGAGGCAGGGGGACGAGATGGCCTTGCTGTCCCTCAGGCTCCTTGTTAGTCTCGGCCTCTCCTGGGAAGCTCTCTTGGTGCCCTGCCCTCCAAAGAACTCTCTTTTTCTTTTTAAAATCATTTTATTGGGGGCTCGTACAACTCTTATCACAAAATCTCTCTGACTTTGGACTCTCCGATTGTCTTAGAGCCCAGGAACTTGGGGACCGGGGCCATCATCTGGTACTCCCTGGTCCATTTCAGGACTCCCTGAGAACCCACTATCTACCAGGCCCTGTACTAAGGGATAGAGTCCTGGCTCTCAGGGAGCTTCCATTCAAATTCTTCAACCCTGCAATTTTAGAAAGTAGGAAGGGGACACCTGCCCAGCTTAGAACCAAAAAAGCCAACAAAACCAAACCCAAACTCTGCTAGCAAATCGATCCCGACTCCTAGCGACTCTATAGAACAGGTTAGTACTGCTTCTGTGGGTTTCTGAGACTGTAACTCTATGGGGGTAGAAAGCCCCGTCTTTCTCCCTTGGAGGGGCTGGTGGTTTTGAACAGCTGACCTTGCAGTTAGCAGCCCAATACATAGCCACTATACCACCTTGGAACACCAGTGGGTTTTCCTCTGAATGGCAGGGTCCTTCTGGTGATGCCTTGTGTGCACATACAAAGGGCTTCAGAAAGTTCACGGAGCAATGGAATGGAGCCCGCCCCACTCCATATACATGTGTGTGCTGGGGCGTGCATGCGTGTGTATATTCATCCTGCGCGCTGGTAGCAGCTTTGAGGACTCTGCTTGCGGGGCTTCACTCTGGTGCTTGCAGGGGGAGGACAGCGTGGCTGCTGTCCTCCGAGAGCCTGGAGCCTGGTGGGGTTGTCGGTGGGGAGACATGGCCCCGCCCATGGTAGATGGTAGACCCTTGGTTTTATTTCTGTTCCTCTATGGAGTCTTCCCTCGCGTGTCGCTCTTTCAGCTTTCCCTCCAGTTTCACACGACTGCACACCCACCTCAGTTGCGCCCCGTCCGCCTCCCTCGCCAACTCTGAGCTGTTTCATCCCCACTTCATTTTCACCTTGAAACGTGTCCTAAAGCCCAGGGCTAGGGGGTTGTGCATGTAAGCATTGGGCTGCTAACCTCGAGGGCGGTGATTCAAACCCAGTCAGCTACTCCAGGGGAGATAGTCGCAGTAGGCAGCTCCTGTAAAGATTTAATGGCCTGAGAAGACCTAGGAAGTACTTCTACATTGCCCTGTCCGGTCACAGGAGTTGGAATTGATGGCTTGAGTTGGGCTCCCTGGTGTACTGCCAGGGTGGGGACAGTGCCCAGGACACAGCACAGCAGGTGGTGCATGCGGGCTCTGTGAGCCTGGGAATTGTTCTCGTTGTGCCCCGGGGCCACTCTGTGGCCTGCAAAGTTTGTCACCGTTCGCGGCAGCATAAGCATGGAAATGCCTTGTGGCAACTTGACATAGCTGTGACACGCTTTCCACTCTCTGGTTGTGAACACAGATAGGACACGGCATCTGCCCATTCAGTGTCGGCGTGCTGGTTTGTTTTGCGGTGACCTCTGGATGCATCTCGCCAAAGCCTTGGCCAGCCCTGCGTTGAGAACTAGAACATGAAACGACTGTTCTTCATCGCAGAGCATGTCCGAGGCCACTTTGAGATCACACTTTCTGAGCATGTCTCGAATGCCAGGTCCTGGCCCACTCCCTACCCCCACCACAGGCACCTTTTCGTTTCGTCCTGGCCACATTTGGAGGCAACTGTGTTGCTGGGCTGGGAACCTGAGGCTCCGCGAGAGTTCAGACTTGCCTCCTTTGCCCAGGTGGCAGGCTTGGGATTTGAACCAGACTCCATCTTTTCTCATCTCTGCAGTTGGAGAGACCAGACCGGGGGTGCAGGGGGTGGGGATGGGGGTGGGCAGTGCTGGGCAGTCCTGGGAAGTGCTCCCGTGGGTGGCACTAACGCTGGGTCCTGCTGGGGCACACGAAGCCTGCAGAAGCAGCTGCGCCAGGACCCTGGTTTTTGGCTTCTCAGCTTCTTGGCAACATGACTCTGTGGGCTGGTGAAAGGGGCCGCGGCAAGGGAGCCCTGTGGTGAATCAGCGCCAAGGGGCGCTGACTGCTGAGTGACCTGGCCACCTGAGGTGGGCCAAGGCCCAGATGCCAAGTAAGCACAGCTCTTCCTGGCCTTCTGCTAGCGGCCTGGGAGGCCCACCCGCTCCACACTTCCCATGTGTTTCCCATGGGACCCCCAGGTTTTCCAGGCTGGAGCAGACAGAAGCAGGGGCCTCCAAGTTTGGGACCATCTCCTCCTACTCCATCCCCCTGCCTCACTTGCAAGACCTCCTTATTTCGCTAGTGGGGCGCAGGGGGAGATTAAATGGTGTCCCCCCCCCCTTGCGTTGTCTGGGAACGACGGGACAGAAGTGTTGGCTTGTAATTAACTGGGCTGGGAAGGATATGGGTGGGGGGCGGAAGGTGGGGGGCGAGGCAGGAGAGGAGACAGAAGGTCTGGGAAAAATGGACGTCAGTGTATTGTGCCTGGGGACAGACTGCCCACCCAGTGGTAAGGACACCCACTCACACCTGCAGGCCTGCAAATCCATTTAAGATCTTTATCCCTAGGTCACATGTGAGGGGAGAGCAAGCTGCTCGAGTGAGGTCGAGGCAAGCCTAGGGCCACAGGTGGCCTGGAAGCAGGCCACTGTGCGAGTCGAGTCGGGGTGGGCGTTTGCCCCCTCTGGGCCTCGGTTTGTGGCTGCACTGCCTCACAGTCGCTGTGTGGGTGCTATGTCCCAACTCAGCACTAAAGGTGGGGCCGGGCTAGGCTGTGTTGTGGGGTGGGGTGGGGAATTAGTTCTGGCTCCGGGCTTCTAAATTATCACCTTTGGGCTATGTTCGCCAAGCGCCAGTCCTCTGTAGATAGTCATGGGAGGGAGGGGCTACCAGACATAGATGCCCCCCCCACCCCACCCCCAGACATGCATGCTTTCCGGGCTCAATGGGCCAAGGTTTAAGGCTTAGGTCTCAGGACTGGCTGTCTCAGGAGGTTGTGCAGAGCTGGTGCCAGAAAGCTGGCTGTGGCCCTGAGTCTGAGTGGCAGGTCTCAGATTTCAGAAACAAGGAGGGAGGAGCCTTGAGCTGCCCACCCCTTACACCAACCCTCATCAGGTCAGGGGGCTGCAGGAAAGAAGAGCAGAAGCCTGGGCCAAGGCCTTTCCTATCTGCTTCCTGGACCGGATGTTGTGCTGAGTAAACAGCTTTGAGATCAAGTCACCACTCTGGCTCTGAGTCACAGTGCCTAGCGACAGCTACAAGGTGTTTATAAACAGTAAGCCTCGCACCCAGCCAGGGCTCGTCCCCCCAGGGACGGGGGTGAGGGGGGGTGGGGGTGGGGCCTGCAATGAGTGAGAGCCTATTGGCTCCTGTACACAGTGGGGAATCCAGATGGGAGATGCAGCAGGGCCCCCACGAGTTCCTCCGCTGTCTGTAAATGAGCTGGGGTGGGGGGTAGCACGGGGATTATGCTGACACGCATCTGTGCGTGGATGTGCATCTGTGAGCTGGTTCCGCTTGCTCTGCGGCTGGCCAGGGGCTTGTGCCAAGCCCCCCCCCCACCCTCGGTTGGTGGGCAGGGCATGCTGGGAACATCCAGGCAGAGTCTGAACACAAGAATTGGTAGTCTGTCCAGCCCACCCAGCCAAAGTTCCCTGGGTGGATGCTCCCAGCCCCCAAAACCCCAGCTCTTTGTGGCTGGTCCACGTTCCAGGCGGTGACAGTGATGTGGTACATCATGTGGTGACTCCCAGGCAGCGGGGAACAAAGGCGCTTCTGCTGGCCCTGGCTCTGGGGGCTGGGACCATGTGTGTGGGAGGGGGCTGCCAGCCTCCCTTCCCACCCACCTCCCTGAGGGGCTGGTATTTGTGGGCTGCAGCTGGCCCTGCTCCTCCCTCCCTCTCTCCCTCCTCCCCTCCCTCCGTCAGGGCTCCAGTGACCCAGGCCTGAAACTCAGTGAGTTTCAGGCAGCTGGCCACCTGGACCTGGCTTGGAAGGAGTGAAGCTGGGATTGGGGCCTGAAGGTAGAAATAACCTATGCACAAGGTACCAGGGATCTGTATCCCCTGAATCTAACTGGAGGCTGGGCTGGGGGTGCAGACTGGGGGGCTGGCGGAGGGAGAAACAGGCCCTGGTGGCCAAGAGGCACTCAATAAATGTTTATTGAATCAACTCCTGTAAAAGACGCCCTCTCCCCTCACAGAGCAGCCTGGAGTGCCCCCCTGCTCCTCCCTCCTCACAGCTGAGCACTTCTCCTAGGACCTCTGTGAACGGCCCCCACCCAAACACCACCGTACCTACTGGTCCCTCCCTGCCACCTTGCCAGGAAACCAGAGCTCAGGGATGGCCCTCCTTTCTTCCCACCTTCACTGAATGCTCCCAAAGGCTGGAGTGGTCACTGCCAGAGGTGAGGGCAGCCCAGCAAGACTGCATCACTGCTGGGGCGCTGTCCCATGGCTGGGCAGTGAGCCCTGGGGGAGAGGCTGAGGTGGTGCGTGTGCACCCCCGCCATCCGGGGCTGCTTCTTGCCACCTACCCCATTCCCATGCTGCCCGGTGTCCACAAGGCTGCTTTCCCCCGGAAGAGGAAGAGTACATTCCAGAGGGTGGGAGCCTAGAGGGTTAGAGGCCAAGCTTTACAAGGCACCACAGGGGGCCGCTAGAGCGTGGCGGCCCACCCCTGTGGACCACTCTCCTGGGATCTGGTTATAAGATCCATTCTGAGCTCCACTGGGCAGCCCCCAAATGACCCTTTCAGAGCTTGCTCTTGGGGGTGGAGTCCGGCCATAGAGCGCCCAGGCAGGGGTGGTCGAGCCAACATAGACAGAGCATTTATTAGGGACCAGGCCTGTCACCTCAGCGTACATCTATCCTCGGGTGATCACGTGGGCTAATCAGGAGTCAGGGTCTGCTCAGGGTGGACCGCGAGCCAGGACTCGGCATTCTCGTGGACTCCTCCGCCTCTGCATCCACAGAGGAGAACCCTGAAGCCGCAGACCCTGCATTGGTGGCCCAGAGACTCTGCGTTAGTGTAGCAGTTGGGATTCAAACCCTAGGCCGGCTGGTCTGCTTGCTGTGTCTCACAGGTCAGAGTGCTGGCAAGCAGCAGAAGGCCACGCTGAATGAAAAGGACGTGGGCAGAATTGATGGCGAAGGGATATCAGGGATGATGGCAATGCAGCCGGGGCCACCCAGGCTGACCCCGGGGGTGTCCCAAAGGCCTCTCCCTCCATGGTGCCCTGTCAATAGACAGAGTACTCCCTGCCCCACTCCTCTAGAGAACTCACACCCCACCGTTTACCTAACTCAGTTCCCCGAAATCTTTTCTTCCATGAAAGAAATTCTGCTGCAGGTGCTCCACTGGGTGAGAGGGAGTTCAAGGTGGAAAGTTCTGGGTGCGGCTGGAGGTGGGGATAGAGCAAAGGAACCGGAAGAGGTAGGGGGTGAGGGTTTGGGTTTGCGTTTGAAGATGTTTAGACAGCGCTCCCAGCCCTCTCCCTGGTAGAACAGATCGGAGTCTGAGGCCCAGAGAGAGGAGGAACTTGCAGGAGGTTGTGCTGAGCAGGGACAGGAACAAGGTCTCGGCTCAGCTGGGTCCCCTGCGCCCCACAAAGCCACCGGAAGAGGATGTGAAATGCTCTGAGAGGCACGGCCGGGGCAGCAAGAAGGGCTGGTGGGGCTTCAGGTCAGCGTGTGATGCTGGGCCCTGGTCACTTCCGCCAAGGCCCGGGGGCCTGATGTGCCTGTGGCTCCTCCCGATCTGCTCCAAGGTCCTGCACAGCCAGCCAGCTGCTCTCTACTCACAGCCAGGGTCCAGATGTCCACCTGACCGTGACCCTGGCCCTACCTGGGTAAGCAAGCCACGCAGCCCCTCAGCTCTGGCTTGGCCCTCGGGCTTCCTGGGCCCTGACCTCTGATAGGAGGAGAGTCCATCGTCCCTCCAGGGCTGCCGGACAGATGTGGGATGGGATTCTCCCCCATGGGGTCTCCGGCAAGCCCTAGCTCTCTCTGGGCCAGTTTTTCCACGTGCGAGGTTGGATGTGTGTGCTTACAGCGAGATAAAAAGAAGGAGGAGCCGGTAGTAAGCTTTTCTTAACGCAGCATGCACGCACTCAACACTTGTCTTTGTTTCTGAAGGTCCACCCTTCGTGGTAACGTTGGGTGTCTTCCCTGAAATGAGGGTGATGGCCATGGTTGGTGTGGTTGTGGGTGCTATTGCTTTTTACAACCTTACTTGGTGAAATAAAAAGCCAAGAACCCTGGGATTGCCCCCCTCTTTTCCCTCCCTCCCCTCCCCCCCCCAGTTTAAACTAGAGTCCCATGTCGGTGGCAAGCACCCGAGGACCTCCGAGGCCCTGCCTGGGTTTTGGGAGCTGAGGGTTATAGGCAATGACGGC